CTTGGGTCCACTCTGAAAATGAAAACACAGGCAGACTCCAGCAGCAGAGGTCAGAAAGATTTTATTTGTAGAAAAGAGAAGAGAAGGGCTACATGGGGGCATGCAGCAGGACCTGGAAACCAGTAGTCCCATGGATCAGGTTGGAAATTGGGTTTTTATGGCCCTTTTGTGTATTTCCCAAGGGTGGAGATGTCTCTCCGGTGCAGACAGATGTTTCCTGGGAAGGAGAAGTGTCTCCTTGGCCAATTATCACCTTTTGGGACCTCCTGTAGTCTGACCTTCAAAAGGATGGAATTATATGGTATGTGAATTTTATCTCAGTAAGAAAGTGCTTTAAACTGATGATAGGGAGTGTCTAGAGAGCTCAGGAATAGAGGGGACCATTGTGCCATGTGACTGCATTCCTCATGGGATAGGAGGGGCAGCGATTCCAGCAAAGATCCATTAGCTGGAGGAATTAGCTAGAAAGGTGGGGGAGGCCTCCCATTGGGAAAAAAAGGAGAAGGAGGGGAAGGTGAACACTGTTGTTTTATAAAGATAAAGCCAGAATGAGGTCTGGATTTGGGAAGGGTAGGGGAACATTTTTGGTGAACAAGGAAGAGTGATTAGGTGACACCTACTAAATGAAGTGAAGTAGAGGCTGAAAGGGAGGATGGTCAGAGCCTTAAAGTAAGAGAAATGTGTACACCTGAATGGAGAGGCAGTGGTCTAGAAGCCAGGTAGGCACATCTCCTACTCCAATGCTAGGGTGGAAGAGGCCCCTGCCTCTACCTTGGAGGGGCTCTGTGGACATGGCAGCGGGGTGGGGGAGTACTCTGTGTTGGGTTAAGGAAGAAGGCATGGAAGGGAAGGCCTGAGGGGAGCTGTCAGGCATCATATTAAAATGCATCCACAGGTCCACAATACTAATTGAGACTTTTATTGTAAATTTTTGAAGAGGTTTTTTTATAATATTACTTTTTAAACTATTTAGCTATGAATAACTAACTTACTTTTAGACATGATTTTCTGCAATTTTCATGTATACTCAGTAGTTCTTCATGTCATGAGAAAAATCTGACATACAAATTATTGTCATGTGTCATCAACATTTTATCAATACCAAATTTAGCAGTTAACAAAGTTGACCAAGTGTAATGTTTTGTAGCTATTTAATTAATATTTACTAACTTTGATTTGGGAACCATGGATTAACTTTTTATTTTCATATCCCTCCTCCTACAAAAGGTTTCTAAGCCCCAGACTCTGGGTCGCCAAAGGCTACTTATAAAAAGGTGGGCATTGTTGCATGGGTCTGTGGGGGAGGAAACAGAATGCTTAGGCTCTGCTTCATGACTCAGAATCACTGCATGTGGGGCTGTTTGCATCTGAGCCACACAGTCCCCTCTGCATCTACTTATTAAGTCTTCATCCTGCTGCTAGTAGCTACTTCTTTTTTTTCAAACCCAAGGCCTTAAAGTGCCCTTGAAGCCAATTCTTATCTTACAGTTATGATCCTCCCAAAAAACAGCCAAAAACATGGACATTGCAATGGTCTCTGGACTTCTCATTTAAAACTTCCTACACTTTTGGCCTCAGCATAAAAACAAAAGTTTCCTCCACACTAGTCGTCCCTTTGTAGCACTGTGATTGCCCTGAGACTCCCTCTGAGTACACTTCTCTAACTGTACAGGCACCTCTCCAAGTGATGCAGCCCTTTGTTAAAAAGGTAGCCTTTGTTAAAGAGGCTGCCTGCTTTTGGCTAAAGGGCAGGATCCTAGAGTTTTTCTCTCACTACATTGGTAAGGGTGGCCTACTCCAACCAGTCACTACATTTACTTTGATCCTGCTCATAGATGGTGGAAGGAAGTCATGAGACAGGGACACCTGCTCTCATTAATTAGGTCTGATCCCCAGTCAGGACACTGACAAAAAGGGAGTCTGTCAAGCTTTTCTAGATAGGACCTGCCTCCTCCAGTCTTCTGGCCTCAGTACCCAAAGCGGTCTCAGGTGGCCTAAGAAAAAACCCTCATCTGTCTTTGTACTGAGGCCTGGCCCCGGTATCCCTTGGGTGACCAAGAGAAGGCTCCCTAAATTATACTACCATATTCCATTAGACCTTTTCTGTAAAAGGGAAGAAAAGTGGACTGAGGTCCCCTATATACAGCTTTACTTTTATCTCCAGGACCACCCAAAATGGCTCCATTATTGCTATCTAGATACTCAAACGCTAGCTGTTCTTTGTAAGCCACAGAATAAACATGGGGAAGGAGGACCAAAAAAAAACCCCTTACAAGGCCCCCATCCCTACTGCTCCCTCTACTGCTCCACCCTCTGCCCAGCCTTCTGAGCCATGTTTCCCCCTCAACAGGCAGTGCTAAAAGGAAGGCAAGTCTATGTCCCCTTCCAGTTACCAGATCTAAGAGAGATTAAAAAGGATCTGGGTAGCTATACTTTGATGCCCCAGACCAGTATATCCAGTTCTTTATTTCTGTGACAACAGGGCCCTGATAATTCTCCCTATACCTTTTCATAGTGCCTTAAGGATACTATCCAAAAGCATACCACAGTGGACCCAGAGTCACAGATGGGAGAGGTTCTCCTCAAAGATAAATTTTTAACTCAGTCAGCTCCAGATATCCATAAAAAAACTCCAAAAGTCTGTGGCTTAAGAAGAAAAATCTTTGGACTAACTAGTGCAGCATGCCACCTTGGTGTATTACAACCAGGACCTAACTAAAAAGAGAGATAAGGATAAAAAAAAAAAAAAAACACCAGGACTTTATCGCTGTGCTCAGGGAGCTCCCCACCCGACAGGACCCCACTCTCGGGACACACTACCAATGCAGACAGGAAGGACACTTCTGTAGGAGTGTCAAGGGGGGAGCAGCCTGGGAGATAGCCCCAGCCCTCTCTGGGACCATGCACCATATATAAGGGCAACCATTGGAGGTCTAAGTGCTCCTGTCTCCAGATGGAAGACAGGGTGCCACCTACCTTGGATTGATGGGTCCCGGGGCCTCCTGTCCGGGCTCCACTCCTTAAAAACTGAGGAGCCTCAGGTTGCCATCATGATAAAAAGCAAAAGGTCATTTTCCTCCTGGACAATGGAGCCTGCTTCTTTGTCCTCCCTTTCTCTCCAAAAATAAAATAGTCATTAGGGGCATATCTGGCCAGTCTCTTTAGAGTTGCTTCACCCAGCCACTAGCCTGCTCCTGGGGGAACCTACACTTCTGTCACTCTTATGGTCCCTGAAACTCCAATACCCCTGCTGGGGCAAGACTTATTGTCCCAACTCAAAGTCCAAATTCTGCTCCCCAAAAGTCCAGTACTACTCTGTGCTAGATCTCAAGGATGCCTTCTTCTACATTCCTCTACATCCTGACAGTCAGCTTCTGTTCGCCTTTAAAAACCCCACTAACCCCTCACAACAGCTAGCTAGCCAATTCATGGTCCTTCTAAAACAACACATAGAGCTGGGCTCCTTGGGCACTACCTACTGGCTGGCCTCCTTTTTATGCTCCTTCTAATATTCCTATTTGGGCCTTTTATAATAAATGCTCTCTCCAAGTTTATATCTCAGCAGGTGCAAAAGATAAAATTTCAACTCTTAGCAAGGAATACTCACCTCTGTCTATGCATAAACCCTCCTTTCAGTTCCACTGGAGTCCACTGGAGACTCCACAGGTCAACCTCTGAGACAAGTGCCCCTGCATCTCCCTCCCTCTTCCACCCCACTGTCAGCAAGAATCAGCTAGATGAGTCATCACCCTTTCCCAGAGAGCAGTCTCAGAGGGGAGACTTGTTGGGTCTGGGTGATTGGCGTGAACTTTCTCTCGTTCCTGTTACTACTGAACCTAACTGGGGCTAACTAAGGGTGATGGAAGATGCAGAAAGGACAAATGATAGAAAGACAGACAGAAAGTTTGGGCCAGGTGTGTCGGCACAATAGCCTCATTGCTTCTCTTCTCTAATAACTCTTCTTCTGTTTAGCTTCTTTTCTCTATTTTTATTCTTTAAGGCCTTATTCCTTTACAATTCTTTAAAACATTGCTTCTTTTCTATTCTTTAAAATCTGTTTCCATAGACTTGCACTGTCCCATGTTCTCTCTTTAGCTTTCTTAAAGTCTCGGCCCTCAGACTTGCAAACAAGCAACAGCAGCCCCATCATTCAGCAGCAGTCCCCTTACAAACTGCCAACCAATTCTATCAACCCCTCTTTAGCAATTCTTTTCCCTCCAGCAATTTCCCTTCAGCCAACCCCCCCATAAAAAACTTCACGTCCTCCTTCAGCAAGTCTTTTATATCCAGCAGTAAACAAGGAGATGGAGCAACAGTTCTTGGAGAAGGGCATAACACTGAGGAAAAGCAGCTGAGCTACATCTTGCTTTCTTGCTCTCTTCTGGTGCTGGGGCTATGCCAAATCTCAGCCTACAGATTATTTGACATAAACATCTTAGGAAAAGCAGCTGCTCAGCATCTTAAACTCTCACCTTCTTCTGTGGCTGGAGCTGTGCTGAACTCAGCCTGCAGAATATTGACTACAACTGTGCTTATGTCTTCATAGCCTTCTCCTACTCTGCTCCCCACAGAGAATCAGAAGACAAAAATGGCCAGTGCCCCCATCCCCCATGAGAGCACTGTGAGCCCTACATCCTGTAAAAGGGCATGTTGTTTCACAAGTTATGGCCCCCTGGGGATGCCTCAAAATGCCACAAGGCTGATAAGCACAGGCTTTCACAGAACTGTGTATACATTCCTGCAGAGATATGTTAAGAGACCAGTCCACTCCTGACTCCTGTACCTCCTCTCTCCAACAGAGTGTGTTCCTACAAAGATATGTCAAAAGGCCACTCCACCCCTGATTCCTAACTCCCCTCCCCAACGAAAAAGGACCAAATAAAAACCCCTCTATGTAACAACAGTGAGTCACTGGTTTCCGGGTTCCGCTGTACTGCTCTAGCTATAGCCTTTTCCTTTCTCTCTAATAAATCCTACTCGTGTGCTGACCTTGTCGTCTCATGAGTCAGTTTGCTGCCTCACTGGCCAATTCTTTGGCTAGTGAAGGCAAGGACCCTCGCCACCAGCCTGCAACACCACCACTGAGCTCCGTGCCGCTCCCTGTTAGCAGTGACATCTCATTGATATCAGTTTTCCTCCAGGAATCTTCTTTCACAATTGGCAAGTCCTAATTTGAGGAAATAGACACATCTGTTAGAATCATTGTTTTAAGTACAATAAACTCAGAGTGTAGGTCTGAGGCTTTTTGTGTAATAAAGTTGATGGGTTTCAGTACCTTGACTTTTGATTGTATAACAGCTGTTTCAACTCCTTAGGCCTTGCTCTTTTGGGCTGAAGTTGCCAAAACCCTTTCCAGTTGGGGTGGGGGAGGTTACCATCAGAGGGAATGTCACTGCCAGCTAAACAGCTGTCTATCTGGGTCGTTCTTGAGTGTGTTTTAGCCAGGAAGGTAAAATTTCTCACTGCTATGTATCATCTTAGTGACAGAAGTCAGTCATGCCTGGGCCAGAAATACAGGAACCTGTATGCTTCATTCCTGTCTGAGAGGTTGTAAGTTATTTCACAATCAATTCCAGTTCACCAATCAGCTTAAATTATTTGGATAAGCCATAAGAAAATAAATTAACAAAACCAGATATGTTTTTTAACAGCATTGATAAATCACATGTCAATAAATTCACCATTTAAAGTATTAATTTTAGTGATTTGTATAAATTCAAAGTTATGTAACCATTAACATAATCAATTTTGGAATATTTTAATCTCCTCTCAAAGGAAACCTCCGACCCATTAATCACCACTTTTACCCCAAACTCTCTAGCTTTAGATAATTGCTAATCTACTTCCTTTGTCTATAAATTTACCTATTCTGGATGTGTATTGTTTTTTAAATTTCATTTTGTTTTTCTGGGGTTTCTTTTGGTGGGACTGGGGCTTGAACTCAGGGCTTCACACTTGCCAAGCAGGTGCTCTACTTCTTTAGCCACACCTCCAAATCGATTTTGCTCTGGTTATTCTGGAGTTGGGATCTTGCAGACTTATTTGCCCAGGCTGGCCTTGAACTTTGATCCTCCTGATCTCAGTCTCCCAAGTAGCTAGGATTAGAGATGTGAGCCAGAGGCACCTGGCTTGATGAGTATGTGTTTAAACAGACTTCACACAGGATCTCGAATTCTGAGTTTGTCAGTGCTGGTGTTATCTGGGCCTACCTCTAAGGCAGAATGCCTGGGGCAAATCACTTACTTTTTCTCTTCAGTTTCCTATCATGGAAGTGTAATGATACTGACAAGCACTGGGTTTAGGCTTAAAGTTGATCATGCATTCTGAAATTTTCACATACTTAGCATCGAGTGGGACAATGACAAAAAAAAATCTGCATGTGACTTCTCAGCCCATTGTTATATCCTGGTTTATATTGCTTCTAATGTCACAGGAATTCAATAAGGCTAATATAGTCTTGGTTAAATTAACACCTGTACAGTTGAAGCCCATTTTACCCCTTTAAGCCAAGAGTTTAAAAGTCTATCTAGCATCTGTAGTTCACGCCTATAATCCTAGGTACTAAGGAAGCAGAGATCAGGAGGATCATAGTTCAGAGTCACCCCTGGCAAATATTTGTGAGACCCTATCTCGAAAAAACCCATCACAAAAAGGGACTGGCGGAGTGGCTCAAGTATGAGAGTGCCTGCCTAGTAAGCAGCAAGCATGAAGCCCTGAGTTCAAACCCCAGTGTCGCTAAAAAAATTTAAAAAAATCTACCCCCATTTAGCTTTTCATCAGAATTCTACTTCTGTACAAGTAACAGTTTCTGCTCCCCTTGCTTCCTGTACTTAATTCCTGGTAGTATAATGAACAGTGTATTAGCCAAAATTCTGGCGATAAAGGCCAGGCTGGGGGTGAGGGACACATCAAGAGTAGAAAATTAGACAGATGTGGAAATTTACACTCAGCTTTTCCTACAGAGTATAAGGGATAAGCTTTTAGATTCAGGGCCCAAATAGACTTGGGTTTGAATCCTGGCTCTGTTTCTTCCAAACTGTAACTTGGAATAATTTTTTTGGGCCTCAGTTTCCTCATCTTCAAAATGGAATAATTGTTACTACCAGCCTCCTGGGGCTGTTTGGGGAGTTCAGTGAGTCAAAGCATTTAAAATACTCAGCACACTGTCTGATACAGGGCAAGCTGTCACCCCCAGCTGTGATTGCCGTTACTCCTAATGGTGCCAGCAGCAAGCCTGAGAATGGATCACTAGCCTAATTGTAAAGAGCAGAAGCATCAGAAAGAGGCTAATATAATACCAAACTTGAAAGATGCTTTTCAGTTAAGTGTTTTCACCTGTGTCATCGCCTTTATTTTTAATTTAATTTTGGGGGGGAGGGGATTTTGAGACAGGCTAGCCTAGAACTCAGAGCTCGATATTGAACCCAGGTTGGCCTAGAACTTGTGATCCTCCTGCTTCAGTCTTCCAACTGCTGGGATTGGATTATAGGCATGAGTCACCACGCCCTGCTTTAAGTTTTCTTTTTTCCTTGGGGTGCTGGGATTCAAACCCAGGGCCTTAGGCATGTTAGGCATGCACTTGACCACTGAGCTACATTTCCAGCTCTTTTATTTTACAGAAATTTATTGGTGGAGGCTGGAAAGCATATGAGAGAGAGGGAGAGAGAGAGAGAGAGAGAGAGAGAAAGCATTGTCTCCTTGGAAGTCTGAAAGACTTGCCCCTGTCCCTCTCCACAGCATTTATGATTGTGACTATTACACCCAGGGGAGATCTGGTAGTTATCCAGGAAGTGTGATCTGCAGACCTCCAATAGAAGGAAAGCAGGGGGACTTTCCATCTTGGCAGGAGAGAAACTTGAAAGGGAGGATCATTGGAGGTCATTGGAGGTCACTTATCCCTTACTGTCTACAGAAGAAGAATGAACTGGTACTGAAAAGTGTGATGGTTAAGCCTCAGGCATCAGACTGCCAGCTCTGGAGTCTGACTTACCAGTTCTCACTTTCGTCACCTGTGAAATGGTATATTAATGGTACCCATCTCCTGGGCTATGGTCAGGATTAAACAAGGTAGCCTCTGCAGAGGATATGACAGTGGTAAAGAGTAAGCACTTCGTAAGCATTAGCTCAAGATTGCTGGCCACAGTAAATGTGTGACCACAGTGCTGCAGGGGCACATACCTGTTTCTTTGCTAGATGTTACCACCAGGATACTCCCCCAACCCCATAAGCACTTGCAACTCAGCATGGTCAAAGCTGTACTCTGCACCTGTTCCTAAAGTTTGTCTCTTGTCTTGGATTTCTGACTTTCATAAATGGCACCACAGTCTACCAGGCACTGGGACCAGAAACCTGGGAGTTACTCCACTCTCTCTGTATCCTCCTCTCCTGTACATATACCATCCCTGAGCAAGACTGTTCCATTGGGTTCCTGAAGATGTCTCCAATCTGGGCCAAGGATGTGACTCAGTGGTAAAGTACTTGCTTAGCATGTACTTTTTTGATTCCCAAAACCAAAAAAAAAAAAAAAAAGGTCTCCAGGCTGAGCAGGGTGGCTCATTGCTGTAATCCCAGCTACTTGGGAGGCAGAGGTTGGGAGAATCATGATTTAAGGCCAGCCTGGGAAAAATCAGTGACACTCCATCTCAACAAATAAGCTGGGATTGGTGGCATGTGCCTGTGATCCCAGCTACTTGGGAGGTGGTAGGTAGGAGGATCAAGGTATGAGATTGATTCAGACAAAAACATATAAGACCCTATCTGAAAAATAACTAGAGCAAAAAAACAAACAAACAAAAAAGTTGGGGACATGGCTCCAGTGGTGGAGTGCCTGCCTAGCAAGCATAAGGCCCTGAGTTCAAACTCCAGATAAAAAACGTCTTTTGTCTGTTTCACCCTCCCATTCCCACTGTGGTTGCCCTGCTCATGCCCTTAGACCTCTTAGTCCATCTATGGACTAACATTATAGACACCAATGCCAGTTTTTCTCCAAACCACAGTCCTCTCTCCCTGAAACTGTCGCAGGGATCTTTCTGAGCCTCAAAAATTGGTAGTATCTCTCACCTAGGACTGCTTCCTGGACTTCCCAGGGCCCCCTAGGATAAAGTCCAAATTCAGAGGCATGGCACAGCAGAACCTCCAGAATCTACCCTAATAGCAGGGCCACCAGCTCACACCCTCCACTCCAGCCCTGCTGAGACTGTGGTGACCCCCAGGATGCTGGGGAAAATCTCCATGGCTGTGCTTCTCCATCCTGTGTGCCTGGAATGCTCAACACTCCATGTCCAACCAGCCCCCTCACAGTCTTTCCAAAATTCATCACAAGAATTCCTTCTGTTTAGAAATGACCCAAGCATTGTATGCACATATGAATAATAAAAAAATAAAAATTAAAAAAAAAAAGAATTCCTTCTTTTTGAAACCGTTCCTGTCCAAACATCAGGTAGAAGTGACCATTCTCTAGTTTGTACTCTCACCCCAAGTGGCCACATTCCTTCTTCAGTGCCTACAATAATTTATGATGCCTGTTGTGACTTGTTTTCCTATTAGGTAGCACATGCTTGTGAACAAGTAAATGTACCATCTGGACAAATACTGTGAAGAGCTGTGAGTGAGCCCTGTGCATTTACAGCTGCCGTTTCTTGAGTGTGTACTAAAGTGCATTTGTGCATCCTGTCTCATTTAATCCTCCCCAGCACATGACACGGGTGCTATATATCATTACTGTCCTCATCTAGCTGGGGCCAATGGAAGTTAAGTAACTGCCAAGGATACAGAGCTGGGAAGTAGTCAAGATTTGGACCTTGCTCTTTCTTATCCCAAATCCACTGTGCCATCATACCTCCCCCCTCTCAAGCCCTTGAAAGAGAATGATGTAGTTACAGCTGTTAACAAAGCTCAGTCTTCAGAGTCTTACACTGGGATGTCCAGTCTAGCAGGAGAGGAATCCCCAAGACCACAGTTAATGGAGGAGAGGCCCTGGCTGGAGAGCTTGTTAGGACAATAGACATTTGCTATTTGCAGATGGCTTTTCAGAGGTATTTGAGGTTAAAGTGAAACAACAAAGACACTGAAAATGGATTGCAGTTTTTCTCTCTCCTGTGTTCACATTTCAGGAAAAGCCAGGCAAGCTGTTCCGTGGTGCATATTCTCTTTCTAATTCCCCTCCCTGGCCTTGTGCAATCTCTGTTGAGGGTATTATTTCATGATTGATTGTACAGGTCAAACCTGCCTTGCCATTGCTTCACTTGGTTGCTAACAGCTTTAACAAGTGAGACCCAGCCTGGTGCAAATGCAATTTGGCCTAAAAACTCTGGGGACAGTGAAATTTATACCTTCAGAGAAAGCAAATTGTTTACCTGGAATTTAAGGTGTTTTTTTTTTTTTCCCTCTTCCTCAATGAGCCAGGAAACTATTCAAAGTATGTTTGTGATCTCCTTATCATTCCTCACCTTGCCAGGGTCTCATCCAGGTATACACAAGCGAACTAGCTTGTGTATGTGCTGAAGACTTCTGAAATAAAATCCTTGCATCAACAAATGTTGTCATCATTCTGCCTGTCACTGTAGTTTCATTTTAGATGGCTTTGTTGAGTAGCTGAAATTCTTGACATTTTCTTTTTAATGAGTGAAGCATTGAATTTAGTACAATACAGCAGACCTTCTTTATCCACAGGGGATACATTCCAAGGCCTGAAACCATGGACATTTCCAAGCCCTATTCTATTTTTTTGGTATACATATATACTTATGATAGTTTAATTGATGAATTAGGCACAGTAAAAACTTGTAAGCCAGGCTCCAGTGGCTCATGTCTGTAATCCTAGCTACTTAGGAGGCTGAGATTGGGAGGATCATGGTTTGAGGTCAGCCCAGGTAAATAGTTCAAAGGCCCTCATCTCCAAAATTACCAGAGCAAAATTAACTGGAGGTTCAAGTGGTAGAGTACCTGCTTTGCAAGAATAAAGCCCTGAGTTCAAACCCCAGGCTCACCAAAAATAAAACAAAAACCTAATAATAAAATAGAACATTTATAACAACATTTAGTAATAAAATTGCCCACATCACTTCTCTTGCTCCCTGGGGCCATTATTAAGTAAAATCAGGACTACTTGAACATAAGCATTGTTGGTTTGATAACTGAGGTGGCTACTCAGTGACTAACAGGTGAGTAGCATATACAGCCTGAATACACTAGACAAAGGGTTTATTTATATCCCAGGCAGGAAAGAGTGACAGCAGTGCACCATGTTGCTGAGAACAGCATGCGATTTAAGACTTATGAATTGTTTATTTGTGGCATTTTCCATTTAATATTTTCAGATTATGGAAAGCGAAACCACAGATACGAGGGAACCACTGTATCAACGTACACCGTGCTTTGATGAATCAGGATGTGTTGTGAACATCATAGAGTGGACTTACACAAATTAAGATAGCTACAATGTCACTAAGCAATATAATTTAAGGGACTACCATGATGTATGTGGTCTATCATTAATCAAAACATCATACATGGCACATGCTGTATTTAAAAGACATTGTATAATAAGCCTTTGGGGTCAGATAGGTCTTTTTTAAACTCTAACAAAATGTGTGTGTTAAATATTGTAAATGCCATAAAACTTCCAAGACCTGCAAAGTTGTCTATTGCTTCTAGTGCTCTGAATTTAATTTTGCCTATTGATTCTCACTTTGTAAAGAAAAGTAGTTAGAATGATGGAAACTAGCACATGTCAGCAATTTTTGGTGTGTTGGGAACCTTATTAGGCAGTTAATCTACATCATTTCATTCTTTTAGTAACCTTCAAGGCAGTTACTATGATTTCCATCTAAATAAGAGGAAACTGAAACTCCCAAGGGCAAGGCACTTGTGAGGCACGCTGAAATCCGGAGCTGTCTGTTCACCAGCCAGTCCCCCCTGTCTCAAGGCCATTCTCCACAAATCCAAATGAATTTGTTTTAGAGCAGGAAACTGTACTTACAGCTCTGTCACTCCTTTTGAAGACCTGGTTTCCAGTTCTGTGCTTTCCATAGATATGGCCCAACTAACTACTTAGCCACTTTATAAAAGCCCCAGCAGAGGACCAAAAGACCCATATGAGGACATAGAGTTGACATTTTCTGCCCAGAGTTTCTTTTGCAGGTTCCAGCTGCAGCAAATAAAATTAGGTGGAAGCAAAGTGAGGCATTTACCCAGGTAGCAAGACTCAGATGGAAAGTATTGTGGATGCAGAAGTGCCAGGGAACTCTTTGAGAAGTCAGAATGGGGAGAGATTCTGCTCTGTTTAGAGCAGAAGAGAGATTTGGAATGTTTCAAGGAGGAAATGGCATTTGAGCAGTCTTGTTCTTGAAAGATAAGGAAAAGTTCACTTCAAGCAAAAAGGAAACTGTGTGAACAAAGACAGACCAAGGCAGGAGGGTAAGGCCACTGCTGGGAAATGGGGCGTTAATAGTGCTGTTGTCAACAACATTGCTCTGCAGACAACCTTGGGGCTCCAGTGACTGGTACTCGTTAAAGCACATCCCACCACCACGTATTTTGCAATCATCTATCGCAATCATCTATTGCCAGGGTTACAAGCTTTCAAGTGATAGATACAACTTTTCTGCACATTCTCTCTTTTGGATGGTATTACCTACATGCATAGAAGCAGCCATGTTAATTAATTTTGATTTTAGGATCCTGTCTGATTTTGCTCTTACAGAAGGAAACCCCACTTGCCAACGCTGCGTTCTGGGCAGCCAGGAAGGGAAATCTGGCCCTGCTGAAGCTGCTGTTGAACAGTGGTCGGGTGGACGTGGACTGCAGAGACAGTGTACGGAGGGCCACGGTATCTGCATGCCCAGAGCACCCCTTTGCACCCCGCAGGCATGACAGCACCTCATGAATACACTTCCCTTTACAGTGTTTATGTACTTGATCATGTGTTTGCCTCCTTTTCAAAATGCAAACTTAAAAACATACAGGGAGACCTCAGAAAGGAAATAGTACATGCATAAAACCAAAGATAGCCACTTTAGGGAAAGAGGAAGCAAGTTGCAAAAAAGAGAAAGACTGTTCAGTAAACACTTCATTAAGAAAAAGAAAAGGAAAAAAACAAAAGATGGAGACAATTTAGAGCATGTGTGGGCTGCCATGGAGCGGGAGTTAGGCTTTTTCTACCAGGATGCAAAAACTGAGAAATTGAAGTCTCCAGCAGCCTCCTGTCCTTTCATTCCTTTTTACAAACAAAAACACTAAATGTCCAGTAAGAAGGTGAAGTAGAAATAAATACTGCTGCCCCCTGGCATGGACCACCTACTGAGCTCTTTCCTTCCTGGGCTAGTGGCTGTCATTTCTCAGTTCTCAGCAGGACTTTTCCACATCCATCAGAACAAGGAAGACCTCAGCTGAAGAGATAGTTTTAGGATTTGAATCAAAATGTTTTCAGAGGAGACTTAATTGTTTTCCTGAAAACAGGGTGTGCCATTTCCAACTTTTATTGCACAAATTTGTAAGTGAAATCCACCAGCAGCTGAAAAGGAAAATAGCAGTTGCTCCACTTTGCCTACTGGGACACCAGAGCTTTGATCTGTACTTCTAGATCTACTCTGCACCCTTCTCCAGCTGGCTCTGCGACCCACCAGACCCACTTAAACCGTCCAGTGGCCCCCCCATGTCTCTGGCCTCCAGTTGGGTTTGGCTAATAGGAACATCAGCAAAAATCAGAGGGTAGGAGGAGAGCTTGCAGGGAAGCCCAGGGCTCACCTTGTTCTGTCTGGCAGTGGTACTCTGACTGTTCGTCCTGGGAGCCACTAGCTTCCTCACACGCTTTCAGAGCTGGCCAGTCATAGAGCCCCACTGTTACTAGTTCCCAGAATGATACTGTTGTTTGGACTTCTTTTTGTTTTGTTTTGTTTTTGTGGTTCGAGGCCTGGAACCCACAGTCTCAAACATGCTAGACAGGTACTCTACCACTGAGCTTCATCCTCAGCCCTACACTGTTTTTAGTTTTCAACATCCAGGTCACAGCTTATAAATAGTCTCTTTATTAAACTTCCTTCCAGATTTCCCAATTTGAATGTGCCAGAACCCAGACTGAAAAGAGGTTCTGGGCATCTGTGAACTGACCATCCCGGTCTTACTCAGGTCTCACTGGGTCAATTCCTACCCCACACTGGCAAACACTGTGGTGCAGGGACCAGTTATAACTGTGGCCTCAGCCACTGACTACTTTCATGATCACTTTTCCTCTTTTTCTTTAAGTTACTCCTGTTCAGATACCCCTGTGACTTCCTGCTGACTTCTGGCTTCTCAAGGCCACCTTACTGGCATACTCTTTTTAGTGCACCAAGTCATCTATCCAACCACTGTCCTTCTGTTTCTGTCTGCAGATCACCCCAAAATTTATTGTGGCCAAAAACTTAGTTCTGGGAATAGACACTCATATATTTATATTATCCCTCCTGATTTAGTATTTTTAAAAAGCCATTTCATCAGATTTCTGGAGAGGTGATTGATTCTTTAACCCACGGTCTAAATGATGTCTCTTGTTACTTTGAATGGGCCTCTCAGGCTGGTGGTAACTGAGGGGCAGAGAGATTGGGAAAACAGTTCAGGCTTTTGTTCCTCTTAGAATGTCACTGACTGGGCTTCTGCCTCCTCCAAGTGCCACCTGGACATACATTCCAAGTTCTAGGATGGTTTCTTATGGTGGTGACTGATCTCCAGGCTAGTACTGCACAGGGTTATGGAGCTAAGCCCAAGGATCACCTAGGAAGTCTGTGAGAGCTGCTAGAATGTAACCAGAGGCCCACTGAGCTTTTCTGGGAATTGTTCTTACCCTAAACTGTGACCATGTTGAAACATTTCCCACAAACAGCATTGTAAAGGATAAATATTTGTGGGTGGAGGATGTAACTCAGTGGTAGAGCACTTGCCTAGCATACACAAGACCCTAGATTCAGTCCTAGGAAGGAAGGAAGGAAGGGAAAGAGGGAGGGATACAGAGGAAGGAAGGAAGGGAGGGAGGGAGGGGAGAGGGAGACAGATGAAGGAGGGGAGGAAGGAAAGAAGTAGAGGGACGGAAGGAAGGAAGGAAGGAGAAAGGAGAGGGAGGGAGACAGTGATGGAGGAGAGGAAGGAAAGAAGGAGGGAGAGACAGGAAAGAGGAAAAGGAAGGGAGGGAGGGAGGAAGGAAGGAACAAAAAGAAAAAGAGAGCAAATGCTTTACCTCTGGGCCACCCACTGTTCACCCAAACAGCTGATTTGCTAATACCAGTCAACTTTGATTCATAGATTTATGCTATTGTTACACGGTGTTTACATTTTTTGCTTTGCAACACATTTAACACAAAGTTGTGCAATGGCAGGATTCTTTCAGTCTTTTTTAGACATACTAATATGTGTATTTCACTGTGTTTCTTTGTTCTGGACTTCACCACATTTACATACATTTGCATTTGCTCTGCTCAAAACCAGTTTTAAAAAGATACATTTTGACATCAGTCAATGAAATGAAATAATCTTAATCTTTAGAGAATTAAAGGTCATTTTAGTACAACTTAAATATAAAGAAAATATTTCTGTGTAGCTTAATGTGATTCTTCTTCATCCTTTCTTTGTTGTTCCAACCTGACTTCTCAATTAATCATAGTATAGATTTGAAATACAATCTGTGAAAAAGTGTTTTTGTCTGATTCATCTTTTATTTAAAACAGATGAATCTTTTTTCTTTCTTTTTCAAATGTCCAAATTAACTTCTTCATACTTCCTCCAACTCATGACTGATTTTTATTTTGAGACCAGTGTGATCCATAATAAAGTAATTTTCTCTCCCCTCATGTAAAAGGAAATATTCATAGGTTGTCTAGTCAGATTGGGTTTAAACCAAGTGTCTTAATCCATTCAGAGTGCTATAATAAAATACTTTAAACTGGGTAGTTTATAAGTGACAGAAATTTATTGCTCACAGTTCTTGAAGCTGGAAAAGCCAAGATCAAGGTACCAGCAGATTTTGGTGTCTGGCGAAATCTCACTCTGTGAAGGGGGAGAAGATCCCTTCAACTTCTTTTAGAAAGGCACTAATCCTACTTGAGAAATGACTTAATCATTTCCCAAAAGACCCAACCTCCCAACACCACTGCTGTGGGGATTAGATTTCAGCGGAAACTTCTGACCATAGCAGTAAGGATTCTCCTATCTGCTCTCTAAGTAAAGCTCCCTCTCATTCAAGAGGAAGTTAGTGATACCAAACTTGTACTCCAGTCTGGAGAGTACAGAGGAAGGAATTCAGCTGAGTAATGGATGGTACCGTGTACATAAAAGTCTCATGTCTACAAGCCAACTATGGCCACAAGAGGCAGAAGTATGTAATACCACTATGATGCCATTAGGGTTTCCTTGACTCTACTCTGCTTTGCATATGCAGCAAATGAGACTTTGCTAAAACTAGCATGGCCATTCCCAGAAGTTAATGAAAGCCAGAGGCCCTGACATTTACAGAGCTATCATAACATGATTTTAAGATGTAGCACTTACTGAATTCATATCTGATGTTACCATGCTGACCCCATTGTCTAGAATATCTTGTTTATTAATTTAATTTAGTTAGGCGGATGCTTTATCATACCTCCTTTTTACAGCCAAAGAGAACAAGACTTGGAAAGGTTTCATAGCACACCCAAGACTATTCTGCCAGTGACCGCTCAACTGCATTGCCTTCCTACAAACCCCACAGAAGAAATAGCACAAATCTCTGCACCCAGTGAGCCTTCCTGGTATACAGACTATCCCTCTTGTCATTCGCTTCTGAGAGGCAAGTTACTAAACAGGCAAAGATGGTGGTTAATCCACTTTAATTAGAAGGGTCCATATCATGTTACTCTTCAAGTTCTTGAGTCTTTTCTTTCTTTCTTTCTAGCTCAGTTGCTAGGCCATCTCCACCATCCTTACCAAACCACTGGCTTTTTTGGGGGGGTTTGAACCTAGGGCCTTTCTCTTACTAGGCAGGTGCTATACCACTTGATCCATGCCTCCAGCCCTTTTTGCTTTAATTTACCTTTCAGATAGTGGCTCTGAGAGACACTCCTAGGCTCCAAGTGCTTGAATCTTAACATCTGAAAGAGCTCTTTCAACCCTCATTTTAATGATGAAATAAATGGGTCTCAGTAATTATAAGCAACTTGCCCAGGTTATACCATTGTTTAATGAGAGAGGTAGTTTCTATTCCCTACAACCCCTGACTCTTAGTTCTGTACTCTGAGTGCCTTTTGTCTCTACCTGAATCATTTTGAAATTAAAAACTTCTAAATACAAGTTTTAAAAAATTAATTAAAATAAAAATTTGAAAGAAATTTAAAAAGACCTCCAAAACCAGAAAACCAACTGGTACCATTTAACCAATTTTTTTTTTTGCATTAATAGCAGGATTTTGGGTTAGGAATCATTAAAGGAGAATCATAAAATGAAACCATTATATCATTGTATTTTAATGCAATAATTTATGGTCCAGTTGGACAGTGTTTCTGAAGGTAATAGAAGTAAGTGAATTTATAAACTGAAAACTCTAGCTCAGCAATTTGTTGCTTTGTTTTTTCCCATCTAGTCTGCATTATGGGATTCTTCATGAGGCACTTTTATCATGGCAGGCGGAATTTTGCACTTAGATGTGTTCTAGGTGGAGCTAACATCCATGAGGACCCCTCTCCGACAGAACAAGGGCCTAACTGTTGATCTGTCTCTCCTTTACCCAGCATGGTACCACGCTCCTCATGGTCGCCTCCTATGCTGGCCACATAGACTGTGTGAGGGAACTGGTTCTGCAAGGAGCAGACATCAACCTTCAGAGAGAGGTAGGTCATACATTTGAGTAAAAATGACCATACTAAGAGATCTGATGTCTTTATATTAATGAATTGGTAAAGAGGACAAGAGTCATCATTGCTTTTCTCCTACACTACAACCCTTTGTAGAGTTTATTGTGCCTAAAATAAGGTCCAGGAATGGACCATCATCAAACATATCTGAGGTAACTGTATGAGACTGTTTTTGTGCTGCTATAACAGAAAACCTGATCTCTGGTATTTTTGATAAGAGGCTTATCAAACTCACAGTTTTGGAAGCTGAAAGTCCATGTTCGGAAGGCTCCTTCTGTTTAGGCTCTGGTGAAGGTCCCCTTGACTGCATCACAACAAGGGAGAGAAGAAGAAAGGGAAACACAAATGCATACAGAAGAGACTAAGCACAAGCAGTGGCCCTGCTTTATAAAAACTCACTCTTGTGAGAACCAGCTCAGTCATTTCCAAGATAGTACCCACCAATGACCTAATTACCTTCCACTAAGCCCCACCTCTTAAAGGGTCCACCACCTCAATTTTGCCACATTTGAGACCAAGCTTCCAGCACATGAGTCTGGAGAACACACTTGAGCCATATCCAATCCACAGCAGTAACCAAACCCCGACCACATTCCTTAAACACTCACACATTTGCTGTCAAGCATAACATTTATAGGATCTTCCTATAAGTTATACTCTTAGTCACCATTGTATTCTTAGTCACCAACCTGTCCATAATAAAGCTTAGTTGCTAGGCCATCTCCACCATCCTTACCAAACCACTGGCTTTTTTTTTTTTTTTTTTAATGGCTACTGGGTTTGAACCAAGGTCCTTTCTCTTACTAGGCAAGTGCTGTACCACTCAATCCATGCCTTCAGCCCTTTTTTGCTTTAATTTAATTTTCAGATAACATCAAGATTTTTTGCCCAAGAGCAGCCTCAGTCCACGATCCTCCTGCCTCTGCCTCCCACTTAGCATGTACCACCACCAGCCTCTTTTTTAAAATTAGCATATATTAATAGTACAAGGGATTTTCACTGTGACAATTCCATGCATGCATACAGCATACTGTAGTAAGTTCATCCAGTCTACTATATTCCCTTAACTCCATTCTTTTCAGTGTTTGGTAGGTTTCATTACCAGCTTGTTTCTTGAGATAGGACCTTGCTAACTTGTTTGCTAGGGCTGGCCTAGAACTGCAGTCCTCCCATCTCTGCCTCTTATGTAGCTGGGATTACAGGCATGCATCACCACACTCAACCCAAACCATGTTTTCAAAGGAGTTTTCTGTCTGGCTATGTATTAAGCTCTCCCAAGAAAGCTATGTGGGCAAACGTTGGGCTTAAAATGTAAGCCTGAGCCCACACTTCATTCAAGGGCAATCTTGGGTGCTTGGTCTCACCAGAAATCCATTCTTTGTCTAATCTAGAGAAGCAGTCGGGCAGCTGAGGCATTTTAACATACTTTGGGGTTCAAGTCTGAGGATGTGCCATATATTTCCAAGCTGACCTAGGACCTGGTAAGCCAGCCTTTATGGAGACACATGCTCTGGTCATCCTGAGAGCAAGTTGGACCTCTCACCAGGCCAGCTCCAAACCAGATGGGCACTTGATTTTCCTTGATTCAACCTGATCCCAAAATCTGTCCTACTGTTGTTTCAGAAAGACATTCATCAACCACACTTTTAAAAATCCAATATATCCCATCCTTCTAGCCTGGACCACTACCCCTAGGGGAGCAAGTTAAGAAACATCAGGTCTAGGGCTGGGCAAGGAGTTCCAAGTCAGTAGTGCCTCCTGTCACCCTCTGGGTGTTGGAGCCTTGACTGTGGACCATGAAAGCAAGGCCTTTGACTAACAGTCTGGAGTCTGGTTCTCTGCATCTCTGCTTCAGCAAGGCTAGTCTGTTGAGAGTAACAGTGTAAAGAGACTGTAACAAATTCAATCTTCTTACAGGTTTTTTGAGCAATTTCCCTAACAATAGACCATTGTTTTAGGTCATTTTTCACTTCAGCAACTGAAGGGAAATTTCCCTCTGGGATGAAAATGTTTAGGCTCTTTTATAAATATAGTTTAAAATTATCCTCATGTTTTTGTTATTTTCCCTTTCTAGTGCTTGTTTAATATAACTTTAAGGCAAAAAACAAAACAAAATAAAAAACCTGCTTTATCTAATAAAAACAATATGACCCAGATCTGTTTGCTCAAAAACTTTATCCTGAAGGGCCGGTCTAACATGCACAAAAATAATCGCTTGAGAACAGCTGAGATGAGCAGGGAGAAGAGAGAAGCATTTGATTTCTAGCCAATGTGTGGTTTTTATGGTTTTATATTTAACTGTTTGGTTCCAATGGCTCAGCCCATCTTGGAGATGAAAACTCTTGTACACTGAGAACAATCTTCAAGCACTTGTTGACAGCAAAATGGTGTTTTCAGAAGACCTTGGTCCTTGCATTCCCACGTGGAAGGATCCAAGCAGAACACTTGGGTATAAATGGGGTTTATTAAAAGTTAGGAAAGGAAATACAAATGGGGCATGGTGGGTGCAGGTAGAGTCCACCAGCAGAGAGAGTGGGCTTTGTTTTTCAGGTGCTTTTAAAACCTACACTAACCCATGGGGAGGGCATACCCAGAAGATTCCCACCCAATAATGAACAAGTGGGGAGGGGCATTGGCAGTTCCCAGCCAGCTGAGGGTGGTCTGGGCCATCCCAGGCAACCTACCTGAGCCCCAAACTTTTCCTATTTCTAGCCTGCCTCAAATTCCCGCTGAGAGATAATATTCAAAAAAATTCCTTTTTTGGGATTGCTGAAAGGGGGTGTTTCCATCTTCAGTATCTGCTTTGAGCTGACAAGGGGCAGCAGACCCTACCTCTAAAGAGAAATTGTCTCTTTTTTCTCGCAGGGCTCATTTGACACAAGGTGTCTGAATTTTTGTCCAGCATAGTTAAGGTTCCTCACGGAGATCTGGGTTGCTCATGGAGACCTTGTTTATTTGTAGAGATCGATAGGCTTGTTGCCTCATGATTTGGGTCCTCGGGGGTTTTATTCTGGAAGAGATAAAATTGGTTTAGAAGGCATGACCTGAACATGAACAATGCTAGGAGCATCAGAAGAGGCCTGCCAGGTGTGGAAGGAAAGATAAAGTAATTTTGAACGTGACAGAGAATCTTATGGTTACTTTGCCTGTCAGCATTTATATCTGTAGCTATTTTTAACTCTTATATGGCCCTCTATTTGGGACTGTCATTATAGTGGGCAGTTAAGGACTGACTACATTAGGGGCCAGGTGTACCGGGGGCAGGTGTCAGGCTAATTAGAGAGTGAACATTAATGAGTCAGTTCTGTACGGAAAGAACACTCACAGTGTCCCTAAGCAGAAGTTAGATACCATTGAAAGTTACATTGCCTTTGTTTAAACAGAAGCCTTGGCCAAAGACATGACTTTGCCTTTTGCCAGAAGCCTAGAAGGTTAAATATTAGAGCGCATGTGTAAGAGCCCCTTTTGAAAATCTCTCAGCTTTGGTTACTTTTAGAGGTCTAGCATAATTGGCATTATCTACATCTGAAGAAGTGCCCTAATTTGCGCAGTCCTTTTGAACTGTATCTCAGGTGCTGAATGTCACTTGTTTCTCTAAGAAATTGGGGGATGCTGACTGCTCGGGAGTCATGTTCTCTTAAACTGTTTCTCTGAACAGTCATCTCTGAAGATTTTGCCAGTTTGGCAGTTTTGTCCACTGATGTGTGAGTGGCTTCTCCCGGAAAGTCCAGAAAGTCAGAGGGGAGGCAACACATATCAAACAGATCAGAAGTCAGTGCCGATGTGACCTTTTTGGCCAAATTAAGCAACAAAGAGATTTTTTTTTAATGTCTCTTAGACTGGGCCTAATTAAATCTAATTGTTTGTCCCATAGAGGATGTACTGACACCTTTAAATTTCTGTAAAGTGTCAGCAGGTAACAGTTATAAAGCTTTTACAAGGAAAATACAAAAAGACCCCAATATTTAAGAATCTCTGTCCTGGTCCATAGATAAGTACTTGTCAGAATCATTTTCATGGGCTTGTCTGTAAGTATTCTTTAAGGATCAGAACTGTAATGACAAAACTTAAAGAAACCATGATTTATTACAATTTAAATCTTGAGTTTTGGTTAGGTAAAGTAACAAGTTAGTGGTTGTCAGTACTGTCAATACAGTATGACCATTAAAAACCCTAACTTTTCCAATGGTTAGGGGAAGGCAGTGTTAGTAATTTTAAATAGCCCCTATTTTGATGCTCAGTTGTAAATCATATCTATTATTTAGTCAATTTCAGGTAAACCAATGTTTATCTGATAGACAGTTGTCAGGACTAAATGGTAGAACTTTTAGCATTTGTTATAAAGAGTAGAAACTGAAGGACCTTATTAGATAGAATGTACCTTAGCTAAAAGAACTTTAGCTGTTTACATGTATACATTTTTAACTTTGTAAATGATTTATAACATTTAGATCCAAGTACAAGGCACTAGCAGTATTGAACCATTTAAATGAATTTTTACTTAGTTTAAAGTTAGTTTTTTGTGTTTTCAGGAAAAAACCTTAGGGTTGTGGCAGGATATAAAGAATAGTACATAATTTTAAATGGGCTATATAGAGGGCTAGTCATCTTATTTTTGGTTGGCAGGATCAAAGTATCTCCCTGTACTTAAGGATACAGCCAAGTGGATATGTTGGCTTCCCCTAAACTGGTTAGGGAAAAGAGAGAGGAAAGGGAAGGGGAAAAACCCACTCATCCCTCCACCACCCCTGCATGAGAGCTCCTGAAAGGAGTTCCCTATGCTGGCTGGTGGAGAGTGAGAGAGGGGAAAAGGAAAGGAGGAAAGTTGCCCTTTCGGAAGGAGAAAAGAGTGGCAGAGTGTTCTGTCTTTGGAGTCATCTGTTCTTTTAAGGGCCCATCTCTTCCACTCCAGCATGAGGGTTTTTTAGATCAGATGCTGATCCTGAATGTTGACCCAACTATTAAAACATCAAAAC